CATCCTGCTTTTCAGCAGGTGAGGAGTTTCCCCCACGACACAGCTCCCTGTGCTTCTTGTGCTTCCTGTTCTTCCTAACCTTTGAATTCATTGGAGGGTCCAGGAGATAGACACACCTGTTAGCCAGTCACAATGTTGTTGTTGGGAGAAAGTACTGTTGGGACTGCCTTCTGCCTCTCCCCTTTTCCTATCCTATATAAGTTTGTGGCTTCTCTCAAATAAATGGATATCCATCACATCAGTTTGTCTCCAGCACTTTTGCTGCAGAAGGATACTCTCACCTCATCCTCCAGTGGTCTTGGGACCTTATGAACAGAAGACTCCCAAGAGTAATCCTCGTAAGGTGACACTAACAATGTTGACAATGACAGTGATGCTTAGCATTTCTCTACTTTTATGCCCCTTCAACCAAGTTCCCACCTTGTTCCAAAGGATTGAGCCCTGACTTAGATTTTATGTGTTCCACTTTAAACTCTATAGACTATTCACCTGAACCCTAATGGACTGCTGGAGAATTGTGGTCAGAGCTGCATAATGACTTAGGTAACTGGATCATTCCTCCAGGACATCTATACTGAATGCTTACAGCAATGATATTACCCTGGGTTCCCTCTCTTATGTCCATCATCAGGTTTTAAGTGACAAGCATGGTGTTTGATACAAAGTACTGTAAATAATTTACTTCAGAACAGGAAAGCTGTGGCTAGTTTTTTCATGACATTATCAGCTTACATGTAGAACTCTTCGACTCCACCAACCTGCCTCATTTGGGCCAACCACATACCATTTTTCAGCCAGCACTTTGACCTTGTGAACTTCCCCCAATTTCGTGAGATTACCCTTTTACCTGAACATTTCAAAACCCACACGGATGCATCAGAATCCCCTTGACCCAATTGCCTATTTTGGGAGCCTTTCCTGATTTTATGCTAACCATCAGCTTCTTCCCTTTTCTGGCTTGTGTCTTCCATGAGTAGTAAATGGACATGATCAAAAGTTTAGCAGAGGCTTAATATTTTCTGAAATAAATAGTAAAATTTATGATTTAAAGAGAAAAAAGTATAAAAAAAATTAAAATATACATGAAGGAAAATGTCAGAGAAATAGTAAACCACTGTTTAACTTTGGATAGTTGCAATGTATTCCCATCCCCAGCCCACTGCTCTTTTGTGTGTATGTGTGTGTATATATATGCATGTTTTCCAAATTAACTAGACTGATCTGTACTACTTTTATCTGTATTTTTGTAATTTTGTTTTAAAAAGTGTTTTCAAATTAGTTTTCATTTTACATCATTTTACATCATTTTATCTTGTCATTGCTACTGACAAGATAAACATGACATTACAATGGCCAATTAAAGCTTAATTATACACACAAAATATCAAATGATAGAATTGCACAGGAATCAAGTAGACATGTAAATAGAGGAAATTATTTCTCCATGCATTAATTTATTCATTATCTCCATATTCAGCGAGTGCATTAAGTACTTTGTTAAAATTACAATAATTTTCAATCCAATAGAAGTACAGAAATTTGGAGTCAGTAGGATTCTGGGAGATCATTCAGCCTAACCTTTTTTGTTCATGTATAAAAACACATAGCATCACAAAAGTCCAAAGCTGAATAATGTAAAAACAAACAGAACAATGTAAAAATAAACACAGGGACTGCCTCCAGAGAGTTAGAGCAGAGTAGCAATAATCAGAATGTGTTGTTACAATTTGCTTTAAAGGAAAAGACAGATACAAAATAGCACTTTATAATAAATGCCTAACTACTTCAAGGAGATGAAGTCTTTTAAAGGAACTGACATTCAGCTAAGAACCAGACAATGAACACCCTGCCACATGACTACAGAGGAGTTCCTGAGCACCTCAGAGAAATGTGCACCCAAAAGCATAGAATTATGAGTTTTTGGTGGGAGGGATATATTAAGGATGTTGTGTACCAAGCAAGATATATGCTCAAGATCTCAACACTGAAAATATGTAAGTAGTGGTATCAGGTACTCTATGAGGCAGGTCTCATAGGCCAAACCATAATATATGCCCTTGATCGTTCACACTCTAACATGACAGTAAATAGCTTTAAACTAGCAGGTGACCTGAGTTGCATGGATTATGAAGATAAATATTCGGAAATTAACTTAGAGGAAATTGTCATAAGGAAGGTGAAATAATTGTGAAGCCGAAAGCAGTGGGAAAAGAAAGACAAGAATAGATTTGAATGTCCTCACAGCTGAGGTGGGTAAATAAATGTGCCCAGGGTATTAAAGATCAGAATCAAAACTGGAGGGTTTAGTCTTCATCTAAAAATACCTACTAGCAGGTTTGTTTTTAAAATACTGGATTTTCCACGAAAACAATTTTGAGATGTACTTGAACTCTACACCATAAGTTCAATTGACAATGATTGTTTTTAAGTTATTAGTATTATTACTCTTATTATTAATTTCCATAACACTGTTTGGTAGGTATAAGAATTCCTTCCTCCCTCTTCTTTCCTCACTCTTCATTTTTCTCTCCTACAATTCCCCCACCCACCAATTATTACAGTGGTATAGTTCTTTAGTAACACAAGTTTTGCTTTCTGCTATTTAAACTTAAATCGGCATTGTATGTATAGGCAAAGGAAGAAAAACTAATACTATATTGTCACAGTGTATTTAAATGTGCTATTTTGAATCTTCCTGTTGCTCAGGATTAAAGATGCTAAACCTGGCTACTCAAGCTAGGCTGAAGTCGAGCCTTGCTTCTCCAGTAGTAAGGACTCCAGTATAAAGTGTGAACATGGATTAATTTTCCAAAATGTTTCTTGGTGAATTTGAAGTGCAGTTAGAGATGAATATCAGCACTGGCACCAATAATTAATAGATTTTATCTTTGTGTAGTTTGTATGGACGTTGATGTCAATTATCAGAACAAAGAATAATGCAACAGATATAACTGTGAAATATGAATACATAGAACAAAAAATATTTTCAGTGTTATGTTAAGCTACAGATCAATTGTGTATTAGGACTCAGAGATTATTACAGTTTATTCCTTCAGCTTTTTCAAGTATCAAAAAGAATAAACAATGTGGGCTGAGATTGCGAATGAAATTTGAAGGTCTTTCCCAATTAAAAATCGGGAAGAGAAAAAAAATTCAACACATTCTCAAGTTCTTGAATTGTATATGAATAATATATCTATATATATAGATATCTTAAGTATTATAAGATGATAATCATATATTTGGGAACATGGCATTCTCTTTGCTGCACAAAAACTTGTGAATAAGCTCTTCCTATGTGATAGCAAAGCAAACAGATAACAAAAAGGGCTCTCAAGAAAAAAACAAGAACTGTACTGATTCCAATTATTGTTCCACAAATATAATTTTTTACACACTTGAGATCTCTAAAAGAAACAGTTCTATATTTGCTATTGTAATGACAGAAAATAAAAAGCTTTTATGGAACACTAGTATTTTTCTGTTATTACTCTAAATATGATACCTTCTTTCAAAATATTCAGTTTTTAAAAAATACATTTGGTATATTCAGAAAATATATTCAGGTTACTAATCTCCAGTCCAGGCTCTGAGAAATTTATATCAGACTTCAGCCAAATTCACGATTTTAATTATGGAAGTTTCACTAGTTTAATAAACCAACTCTACAGTCCGCTGCTCAAAGCCTTTCACAGGAAGACTCTAATATAACTGAGCCCAAAATGCAAATGTTACCATCTGCATCACCACATCCACTCCAGCACACTGCTATTAAATTAACAGTATAGTCTGCAAGATAAAACAGCAAAGACTCCAGTCATGTGAAACTTGAGCTTCTCTTTAACCTCAAAGCACGAGAAACACACAGCCAGTTCAGCCATGCTTCCCTTAGTCAATCCATGCCCAAGAGTGCTGTGTCCAATTTTCCTGACCAAAGGAATTAAGAAGCAAAAAAGAAAGAAAAAAATAGGTTTCTAAGTACAAATACAAATGCGTTTCGATTGAATGACCTTCAATGTCTTGATTGTTTAAGGATCGGCAGATGTATCTGGAACAAACTCAAACACAAGGATTAAAAGACATAACATGTGCAAACTATTTAAACAACAATCTGCCACTTTAGCCATTTTAATATAAATACTTGTGCTGGTGAAACTTACTCAAAACTTCATTATTGAAAATTTTGCAATTTGCAACAATGATATTCTCTGTAATTACGAACTAGCTAGTTTTTGTTTAATAAGTGTTGAACACATTTCACTTAAATCTCAGGAAATTTTCTTGGTATTACACAAGTTTGATTAGGAGAATATATGCACTTAACCCTTGGAAACCTTGTGTCCTTTTGAACATATGTGTTTCCTATAAGTTTTTATGAAATTTCATGACTGTATGGGTCACCCTCAGAAAAGCGATGTTGCAAAATAAACAGGACAAGCTGACCATTATTAATGTGCTCTCTCATGCAAGATGGCAGTTACTGGATTCAGTTCACAGTTGATAAGAATATGAATCATCACATTGTCACTGTCCATCTACTGCAGGAGTTAATGCAACAGAGCTGTTGGCCATGGCAATCTGCAGGCAGACAGTATGGCGTGGCACTTTCACAGTGAAGATTGTGAAAGAACTGCAAGATGGAATATTTTCAGACTTAAAAAACAAAAACTAACCCTGAATTACATAATACTAATTAAAACAGATAACTTCATTTTTCTCACTAAGTCAAAAATAAAACATTTATGATCTTCTTTAGTAAGTAAAAATGGATTATAACTGATTTGAAAATTATCAAAACTATTAAAGTTACCTAAAGTTCAATCATTAAATACTATTTTTATATTTATATGAGCGGTTCACTGAGAAAAAAGTTACTTCTTTCAGCATTATTAATCAAATGCTCTTTCTCCTGCATGAACAGACAACTAATATGTACATACACACATACATATATTTATATATACATCTTAATTATTAATAATAACTATAAAAACATTTACCTTTAGTTTGTATTTTTCTTTCAGGTTTTTCCTGCTTTTCAATCTTTTCTTTGTGTATTTCTGTGGAAAAAATAGAAATTATAATTGAAAAACAGAATATGGAATTTAATCATAGCTGTGATATAAACTTCATCATTGCACCAAAAATCTAAAAGACTGTGTGTAAAAACGCATTCATTTCTAAAAGGAAGGAGTTTGGGTGATATGTTGTTACACAAATCATTATTTATTGCAATAAGGGAAAATTAGAGTCATCTCAAATAAAACTTATTTGAAGACTTAATGCTCAATGATAAAGATGTTGTTATCAATTTCTGTACTAAAACTGATCACAAACTACAATTGCATTTTATTTTTATTACTCTTATTGCAAATTAGGAATCTTTAATAAGATTATCCTTTAGATTGAGGAAGATTTACTTATTAAATTAAGAATATGTGAATTGAACTGTAAGAACTACCTAATAGGAAGTATTTCTCAGAAGTGTTGACTGTAAGCTATGTTTATAGTCAGTATATGACATTGATTTAACCAATAATTGCTGCAACTAAATATCACACATTTCATTGAATAAGTTAGTTGTACAAATGTTTTTCCTAAATATCAGGTTTTAAGAAGCATATTCAATTTGCTACTATATTCAGTATGCAGACATTGCCAAAGCTTAGAAAATGAAGTCAATTTTAAATCTACAGTTAATTTGGAAGGAAAAATTAAGATTAGAGTTTATAAATATGATTACTACCTCTGAAAAGTGATTTAAACTTACATATCATAGTTTTGCTTAGCAAAAATGCTAATGAGGTTTGCTTATTTATTTTTTATTCCACAGATGGCAGAAGATACTGTTAATTACTGTACACATTTCCAATTCTTCATTAGCAAATCAGCATTTGCATTTTTTGTAATTTTTCCAAAAGTCTGCTGAATAAAGATCAATCGTAAGCAAACACTAAACTGCTTCAGAATAGACAACTATTGACAGAATTCCCATTCATCCAGTAGGATGACATGCATTACCGTGAAAACTGTGTTGTTTCATTTGCCCCATCTATCAGCCACTGCATGATTTAGAGGCCCATTCCCCTGCCTTGTCACATTTTTTACTGTAAATAATACCAAAGATGTGAAGGAGGGGACATACATATTTCCATCACTGGAAAAATTCTCAGATGCAAAGAAAGCTCAAAAATATAGGAACTTTGCATATTCCTACTCTGTCACCATGTTACTTAACTCTGCTTGATATCTCTAAATTGTACAGTTTCCCACCTTAGCGTTAAATAAATTTGGCTGGATGAATCAATATTTAGGAATGGATTAGGGATGTTCAATGCAATTGGAAGTATTTAGCAGCATTCTTGATCCTTGAATATTAAGATGTCAGTAGCCTGAATGTCCATCTCCAATCAAGACAATGAAAAATGATTTCAAATGTTGCCAAGTGCCCCCAATAGGGTAAAATGAATCCTAGTTGAGAATTACAACTCTAAAGGAGCATAATAAGCAGCCCAATCATGTGTCACTATCTAGACCCATAATATTCAAAACAATGGCCGATGGATATGTGTGCACATTAAACATATGATAAGTGATCATTGAACTGAAGTGTGCTGTACTTCAACAATTTTCGACTAATTAGACTAAACTGTCTAGATTCATTAGGAAGCTGCCCATGGTCTTAAAAGTGGATTTGCATTTTGAGATTTGAAGAAGAAAAGGATAACAATTAAAGCATAACAAGTATTTCAAGGTAGTGAAGATCTTTCCTTTATATGAATTCATTGCTAGCCTGATATATTAAGTCAGATTCAGCCTTTTCCTAGTGTTTACTCTCCATAGTGGTATCACTGCATTCACGGATTTAAGAGGATGGTTTGCTTCCCCAGGATGTGGGAAGTATATTGTCACTTCTTTTACTACTCTTGATTTCCCCCTCAAACTTACTAGGCTTATTGTGGAGAGCTGTCAAAGAATATGAGAAATGGAGTAAAGAGTAGATGTTTGTTAATTTGTACCACTGTCTCACTCTGAAACTTATGATGTTCCCAGAAACCATGGTCATGCCAGGTTTTACTATAATTTTATTGCACTTTATGAACTCAGATAACTTGAACTCTGGCTTTTATGCTTTATTATTCAATGGAAATGACAATAAAATATGTCCTCATTAATCAGACTGCTTTTGTAAAGCACGATGTCAAATAAAATGAGACTTGTGAAATTGCTGGGAAATAGAGGAACAGATAGAATGATTGATCATAGTGCTGAGAATAAATGTAAATTAGTCATATTATTAGATAATTCATTATTTCTAGATAATAATGATATTAAATGATTATTTAAATAATTCTCATGAAGGATGTTATAAATCTTTAGTATTTTAATATAATTAAAACATCATACATTTTGATAGCAAAAATGTAGATACAGATAAGCTATTAAAAGTTCTGTAGAACATGGTTTCATCTCTGACATGCATTAAAATGCAGTGTAGTGTTGGAGATAATTAATGGTAGAATCAATCTGTCCAAATCAGATCTGATTCCTGTTCTTAGTAGCTGTGTGAATTTCATTTTCTCATCCATAAAATGATGTTAATAAAAATAATTACCATATAGGCTTACTGAAACAAGTTAGAATAAAAAGGATTTAGAAAAGCACTTGGGACCAGGTAAGCATCATGTGAATATTGACTATTATCTTTTATTTTTATTACTCATCTCTTCTACACTGTATTTTACATTTGCTGGAACTATGAATTATCTCTATTTTAGTTCACATTAAATTCCCCATACTAAAATGAAAAGCGGCATAAACAAGTCACTTGAAAATACCAACTGTTTGAAAAAGCCCATATTTAGGCATAACTGGGTATTATCAAATTTTGCAATTTAAACAAAGTGATAATGACAATGTTCTTTATGATAATTTAACTCAAAGTAAGTACAAATATTACTACAGCAAAACATTTCTAAATAATTTTGCTTTCAATTAGAAGTGCTGCACAAAGTTGCAGAATTTTACTTTCTTGAAAATTTACCTAATGGAGTGTTGAGCCTGTGAATGTGAAGTAAACTGAAAATACACCATTATAAAAATTTAAAACTACATATAAAATAATGATGGAAGGGGAACATAAGCTGGAGGGAGGGATGAATGGGAAGTATCAAGGACCTCCAAAATGTGTATCGTGAAGTGTGTGAAGTTGCTCCACTATATTTAACTGAACAATCTAAAGTATAATAAAGTTTAACTAAGCTCTAAGCATACCACAATGCCAATGGTATTTCTCAAGAGCCTATGAGCTTGGGCCAGGGGTGGTAGCCTTGTGGCTAAAGTCATTGCCTTCCACATACCAGGATCCCATATAGGCTCATTTTGTGTCTCAGTGGCCCCACTTCCCATTCAGCTCCTTAGTTTTCTTATTGGAAGGCAGTTGAGAAAAGCCCAAAGCTTTGGGACCCTGTACCCACTTGGGAGACTCAGAAGAGGCTCCTAGCTTCTTAACAGCTCAGCTCCAGCCACTGAGGCCACCTGGGGAATGAATCTGTGGATGAAAGATCGTACTCTCTATCTCTCCTCCTCTCTATGCATCTGACTTTGCAATAAAAAAAAAAATCAAAAAAAAGGTATGAGCTCAATCTGAAAAGACTATTTGTAAGCAGAGATTTGCTATGGGTGCCAAAAGCAAGCACACTGGTAGTATCAAAAAGCAGTGGGACAAAAAGTAAAAAGTAGATTCCTAAGAAAGACTTTATTTTGTACTTTTTATTACTTTACTTTTATTTTGTTTGTGAGAAACTATCTACTTAATAATAAAGCTTATTGTTAAGCAGATGGTTGATAAGTTTGTCTAGATTTACATGGTCAATTTAAAGTATACAATCTCTACTAATATTGCACACTCAATAATGCAAAATGTTATCAATTCTGGATTTTTAAATGACAGACTCAATAAATTAAAAGGATAACATCTGTTACCAAGGCAACGATCCTGATTCAAGATGACAATCCAGTTTATTAAATTATTATGAGAGTTGTAGATTTTAAAGAATACCTTATCAAATTCTTTTCTCTATACCTCACAAAAGCCAGATAATACAAAAATTTAAATTATGTATTCATCAGAACATATAATGTCTATTGACAAGATTCTGGCAATTATTATCAGAACACGAAAGATTAATTATTGTAACTGGATGAGCAAATTCAGTTATTTAGTGGCTAATTAAGTAAGGCTCAGGGAAAAATATTTTACTGAGTTTTCAATAATTTAAGATAAATGATGTGTAGTTATTTGAATGTTTTGATACTTTTCCGTTGATTTCATTATAAAATATTTTGAGGAACATTCACTACTCATCAGTAATGAAGCCTATTTCTAGAGAAGGTGTACCTGTTCAGAGGCCTATAGCTCACATTGCAGGAGCTGGAGTTGATCTGCAGCTCCAGCTCCTGACTTCAATTCCTTACTGATAAGGATCACGGGAAGCATTAGTATTGTTCCTGTCCTTGGCTTCTTGTTATCCATGTGGGTGATGGGAATCCCTGAGTCCAGCTTCAGTCTGTCTCAGCACCAGCCATTGTGGACATCTGTGTGGGGTGAACCAGATCTCCCCTTCTCTGGGTGTCTGCCTCTACCGCTCAAGTAAATAAATACATTTCTTAAAAGTAAAAAACCTGAGTGGGCATTAATGAGTAAACTATATAACATAAAAAAGGAAATATATTTTTGTGTCATAAAACTGGGTGTTTGAGAATAAGCGGTATATCCCAAACACACTAGCAAGCAGGTATCGAGGACAATACTCCTCAGGAGCATCAGAGACCATATATTCAAAACATTTTTTTTGAATCCTTGTTTTCTTATGTTTTGCTCTATGGTAAGACAAACTAAGGTTTTTCAGCAGAAATAACAGTCTCAACATTGCATATTAATGAATCCTGAAACAAACTCAATATAAGTACACTAAGATGATTTCCACCAAATCTAATTTTTTGTTGTAAAAATCAAAAGCTTGATTAATGCACGTTCTCTCTTTGACCTTTATTTAAT